TCAACTAATTCTTTTTGAGATAGTGACTATATATTCCTTCTATCTTCTCTTCATGTTTTTTGTATCATTCAGTATTCGCCGATAGAATCCTGTAATATTACAACTTTAAATTTGTTTTTTCTTTGATTCTTTAAGCTTGAGAAATCCTGAGTTTTTGAAAAATGCTGAGCATTTTCTTCCCTTTTGGTTTTCTAATCCAGGTCTTTGCACATTTCATCATGCTTTGTCTTCTTGAGTCAGCCTTTGAAATCTGCTCAGCTCTTTTACTCCATCATTTGTTTATTTTGCTTTAGCTTCTCTATATTCAAGAGAACTTTTCAGTGTCTCATACCAGTTTTGGTCTTTTCTTTCTTGTCTCTTTAATGACCTTTTGATTTCTTATATAATTCTATCGATGATATTGTACAATTCATCTGGTCTTCAGTTATTGGGAATTCATTGAGTCCAACCTGTTAATTGAGGTACTCTCTAAATTCAAATAGGATATATTTACAGATTACATTTTCATTCTTATGGACTTATTAATTTTCTTCAGCTTCATCTTGAACTTGCAGTTGATGGTTTGTTTGTTCTGCATTTAGCCCCTAACTTTCTTCTAACTTACGATATTGAGCTTCTTCATTGTCTCTCTTCACTGATGTAGTTGATTTGATTCCTATGTATTTCACCTGGTAAGATCCGGGTATCTATTCACTGTTTTTAATTGATGAAAAGATATTTGCAACGAATAAGGCATTGGTCTTGCAGCATTTTTTCAAGTGATCTTTTTTGTCATTTCTGACACCAAAACCATGTTTTTGAACTGCTGATCCTTTTGTTTTCATTTTTGCATTCTAATCACTAATAACTATTAATGCATATTGATTGCATGTTTGATAAATTTAAGATGGCAGAAGCTGGTAAAAGTGTTCATTTTTGGATTTGGTACATAAATTTAAATAATGGCCATATCCACTTGTTTTCCTTGTCGATATATGGGTATTGTCCTATCATAGACAAGATACAACATAGCCTGTTGTGTTTCTGGTTAGATCTTGGAAAAAAAATTTTAACAGTAACTGGGACATCATTCCTCTTGAATTTATCATTCTTGGTAAGTAGACCATATAATTATCTGATTCAAAATGGCCAGTGTTAACTCCATTTCAACTCACTAATTCTTAGGATATTGATCTTTATGTGTTCCATTTAATTTCAGGCACTTCCAGTTTTCCTAGATTTATACTTTATACATTCTACATTTAGGCTATTGATAAATATTTCCAGTTGTTTCTTATCATTTTGAGTCATGCCATGTCTACAAATAAAGGTTGAAAAAGATTTGCTTCATTCACACCATTGTGGTTTACTCTATTTGAAGAGACATCTCTTCATTAGTTCTAGTTTGCATGCCTTTCAACCTAAAGGGCTCATCATCTGGCCCATTATCATACAGTGTTCCACTGTTAATCATAAGATTTTTAGTGGCTAATTTTTCAGTCTAGTTTGTCTTAGTCTTGAAGCTCCACTGAACCTTGCTCTTTGTAGGCAATTTACCCTGCTGTATTTGAAATACTGGTGGCATAGCTTTTAGCATGAGAGCAACACACAAGTTACCATAGTATGACAAACTGACAGACAAGCGGTGGGAATTTAAATTACCTTATATTTATGAATGCTTTGTTTTTCACTCATTTTCATGTGTGTGATTTATTTTTATTTTTACTATGACTCTAGAAGGTATAGTAGGTAGGTGTCATTAATGAATCTCACTTTGTAAATACAATAATAGAATCCCAGAAAAATTTTCATAGTGAAGAAGTATCAGTGATAGGATCCAAAATCAGATGTCTTGATCTTGTTTAATTGTTTTGCTTCTTTAGACTTCATTGCTTTTTTACAGTGCTCTTAATCATTCTAATCTTGATTTCTTGTTGAGTATTAATTTTACACTTTATTTCTAAGGGCGGGACGATGTCGACCTGGAATCTGTTTCCGTCTGTTCAGTAGACTCCGATTCCAGAATATGTTGGAATTTCAGACTCCAGAACTATTGAGAATGCCATTGCAGGTAACTCTAAAGAATGTGTATGTGTGCCTGTGTGTGTGTATGTGTAGAAGAATTTTAACTCCTGTTGATTGAACTGATTATAATACTTCAATGTGTATTATCAAGGACATTTATGTATATTAGAGAAAATTTTCTTCTATAAAAGAAAATGCAATTCACATGCCTTCATAATTTTTCAGAATTACTTGAGGATATTTAAATTATAATGCAGTTTACAAATATATTGGAACTTACATGCAACATTTTAAGAATTTGTCAATTGTGTAGTGTTTATCATTTGAATTCTCAGTAATGATTAATAGTCGTATTATTTAAAGTCCAAAGATAGTGCCAAAATTTATTTCAGGTGCTGAAACTATTTTGATGTTATAGAACCAAGTGCACTATTGATTATTTTCAAGTTTCACATATGTCACTAATTTTTAGGCGTTGCTATTAGAGTACATGAATGTGAATCTTCAATGTGCTGGATTGGATGCTGTCTTCTAAACCTTTAAAGGCATATGTATGGGTCAAACATTTTTTGCATTCATGTGCCTAGAAGACCTCTCTCTCCCCATTTATGTGTCATTTTAAAGATTTCTCTTCAAATAATCCAAAAGTACTAATAGGAGCCTTAAATGACCTATTCCTGCTGATCTCCTTCTTTATTTCCTGCCATTTTTCCACTTCCTACCACACTAGTATTTTAGTTTCTCAAGCACGTTTTGTTTGCTTCTCCCTCGGCCTTCATATGTGTGGTCGTTTCTCCCTTGAGTCACTCCGCCTCCTTTTCTAATTAATTTGTGTTCAATCTTTTCAGTCTTAGAATAAAGTGATTCGTAGTTTAAGGATTACCCAGTGCCATCCCTCTCTTGCTGTTGTCTGAAGATGGATAAATCTCATCTTACTTCTTTTAGTTTACCACATCCTTCATAAAATTTATCAAAACTGCAACTTTGTTATATTTAAGTCTCCTTTTCATACTACAATATAAACTCTGTGAGGGTAGGCACTTGCCTGCTTGTCTCCTTTTTCCTTAACTTGCTGTGTAGTCTCTTGGTAGTTAGTAGGTAATTAAATATTTTTTGAAAAGATCAAAGATTCTAGACGGTAGTGTAAGGGGAAAAAGGATTAATTTTAGAGATAATTTTAAAAATTACCTTCTTATATTGTGACTAAGCAGTATTCTTTCAAAAACTGTTTACCTTTTGGGCAATGACTGTGAGGAGACATTAGTGGTTGATGAAGGTTTGTATTAAGATTTTTATGTGTAGAAGAAAATATGAACCTGTCATTCCTAGAAACGTATTTTACCGTCTACTGTTCAGTCTAATCAGAAGCTACTAGTCATTGTTTAGGAAATGTAATTCCTATGATTTCTTTAAAAATAATAGTTAATAATATGTGTTCTTTAAATTTTAATGCCTTCTTCACAGGAACTGTGTTTGCATACCAAGCTCTTAGCCCCAATTAATTGTCCCATAGCTGATTTCCTTATGAAAGCTCCTGAACCTCCACCGGCTTTAATAGTAAGAAATGCTGTGCAGATGCTTAAGGTGAGTGTGCTAAATAAAGTTAAATTTTACCGAACTCTATTTTTGAAATTTAAACCAAATGAGAAATACCTTTTGACTAATTTTGTATTAAAAAAAATCTTACACTTTGATAAAAAACTTTGAGTAATAATTCTCTGATGGTAATTATAGTAGTTACAGTTTGTCTATATATTTGAAATAAAATACTTTTTTATGATGTGTGATATCAAAATACAGTTCATATTCATGCTTTTGGTTTTTAAATGTGTAGTTTGGCTAAATGTAGTTTTGGCTATATCACATTCCTTTCTATCTCCTGTTATTTAGACCATAGATGCAATGGATGCCTGGGAAGATTTGACTGAACTTGGGTATCATTTGGCTGACCTGCCAGTAGAACCACATCTTGGTAAAATGGTCCTGTGTGCTGTTGTTTTAAAGTGTTTGGACCCCATCCTTACTATTGCCTGCACATTAGCCTATCGAGACCCATTTGTACTGCCAACACAGGCCTCTCAAAAACGCGCAGCTATGGTTTGTAGGAAACGTTTCACTGCAGGAACTTTCAGTGACCACATGGCACTTCTCAGGGCATTCCAGGTACTATTATTACTGTCATTTTGTTTCTGGAAACGGTAATGATTAAACTCATTTCATGGACAAGCATAGTAATAAAAAAAAAGATGTACCAAATAATTTTATTTCATAATGAAGTCCATTTAGTGAATAATCCAGAAGAATCCCTTTCTACTGCCAATATGTTAAAATGACCACATTTTCCTTTTTTATCATGTTCTCAATATTTTTATTATGACATGTAAGTATGTACATATATGTTTATTTACATTTTCATTGATTTTTTTAAATATCTAAATTCCTTAACTTTAAATCATGTTTTGTATGAGGAAAGCTCTAAAATTTTAGTTACGAAATGTATTATTCAAAGAATATCTAATAAGGCTTGGAGTGATATTGTCTTGAATTTACTACCAATTGTTTAGAATTTATTCTGGACTGTTCTAAGAACTTAATTTGATAGAGAAAAATCCAACAGTCATTTGAAATCACTTAAGATAATAGGAAAAATTTAGGGAAAAGGCATATGGGTAAGTACAGTTAAGGAAAATGGAACTTAAGGAAGAGAAATTGAGAATTGTTTCTTGAAAAGATAGCAATCTTATTTAAATTTTCCTGAATATAGGCTGATCCTGGCCTTTTTTCTCAATTTCACTTTATGTATGTAGAAAATACTTTTTCAAGTGTATAGTATTTTTTTAGTAAATACATAATATTTTTAGAGTAGTGGATTCTTTTGTGAACATTATTAAACAATGAATTATGCATCTTTGTTAATTAGGTCTATTTGGTAACATGCATTAGAGTAGATCAGTTGAATTATAATTAGAGGGAAATTTTGAATAGGATTCTTCTCTGTACTTTCTTTTTCTCCAGCTCCTTCAAAAGCTGAAAGGATAAATTACTACTTTGATGTTTCAGTTATACTCTAAAGAAAAGAATTGGTTTTCTAAATAGAAATTATATATATATATATATAAAATCATAAAGGCAGTTTGTAAAAATCCCACTTTTCATTCTTAATTGAATTAGAAGGTTAATAAGTTATTTTATAGAGTAACAAACAGGATTCTTAACTATCAGAGGTTTTATGATGGTGCAGTTGGAAACCGCCCACATTTTTATTGAAATGATTATAAGCATCTTAAACAGTAAATATTTTTACATAGCTGGTCATTGGGTTACTTAACACTCAGTTTTAATTGGGAATTTGTAATGAATTTCATAGCATGTGCATATAAATTTGCAATAAATCTTATGTGGTTAAAAAAGTCTTAGATTTTATAGAATGATTAAAATAAGAATTGGCCCATGTGGTTATATAGTATATTTCAGACACTTTGCTTCCTAAGATGTGATTGGTTAATGTGTTTTCCTATGTAATTACTCTATAGGCATGGCAGAAGGCTCGAAGTGATGGGTGGGAGAGAGCCTTTTGTGAAAAGAATTTTCTTTCACAAGCTACGATGGAAATAATCATAGGCATGCGAACTCAGTTACTTGGTCAACTCAGAGCATCAGGTAACATTTACCCTAAAGAACTGATTTAACCCATTTGAAATAGCCGACTTATACCTCAAAGTACTTCAAGTGTTAACTAAAGCCATCTTATTGATAACATTTCTTATATGTCTTGCAAAATCATTTATATGACTTTATCTTTTTTATTAAAAAAAATGGGTATTGAAGAAACTGTTGTTGAAAACCATAAATAGAACCTGAGTCCCTACTGATACTGTTGTCCATGAGCCATTTACTTCTTGGCTAAGATCACTTCAGGTTGTAGACAGTTCTACCCTGTCCCGTCGGGTCTCTGCGAGTTGGAATCAGTTGGATGGCAGTGAGTATTCATAATAGCTAAAAGATGGAAGCAAATGCCCATCATTAGAAGAGTGGACAAATTATTATATATACACACAATGAAATACTATGCCATGTTACAGAGTTGAAAGGAATCTGAAAAACACCTCCTAACATGGGTGAACCTGGAGAACATTATGCTCATTGAAATAAGTTAATCACCAAAGGACAAGAATTATATCACACCACTATTATAAAAAGATAAGGAAAGGTTTTCACACTGAAGCAAACTTCCTTTGATGTTTACCTAGGGTAGAAGGGGAGAAGAGGGAAATTAATAACTAGAGGATAAATATATATTAAATTGAATAAAGGGAAGACAAAAATAAATTTTAAAAATGGACTTGGCTAAAAAAAGTATTGTACAAAGAAGGTATTGTCTAAAAGAAGGAATTACAAGAATCAGATTGACATGGATGTTGATCTTTATACTTTTAAAGCAAATAATTGGCATATAATTGGTTATCACTTGAATATTCTTGCGTTTGTTTTTTTTTTTAAGAAGGACGCCATTATTTCTACTAACCTTTAGAACTTTTTAATTTCTTTTTGCAGTGAAGTTACATTGAAGAACTGGTCAGAAAGAACTTTAACTTGGACTCTCAGATTAGCAAAGTGTCATAGTAATATAAAAAATTAGCCAAAGGATTTAGAGTTTTCTCTGATTTGGGGAAATATGAAGGAATTTTGAAGTTCAAGTTATAATACTCTATAAATAGTTGACTGTATCTTTAGAATTAATGTCTGTCATAACTGAAGTAGTAGTTATACTTGTCAGAAGAATGACTTACAACAATGATTCCAGCTGTGAATTTAATACACTTATGATAGAAACTTATGAAACACTTAATAGTGAGAAATTCTTTAAAAATACTGAAACTTTTTAAAATAACTGATATTATGTTTTAAACCTACCATAGGAGATTCTTTTAATTGCTATAGATTTTGAATATCATTAAAATGTCATATTAGGTTTACAATGTTTATAAAAACACAAATTTAAAAGCTGGATTTGTACAGTAGAAAAAGTTGGTGTGATTTTTTTTCTTCTGTAGGTTTTGTTAGAGCGCGAGGTGGTGGTGACATTCGAGATGTTAACACAAACTCTGAGAACTGGGCTGTTGTTAAAGCTGCTTTGGTGGCAGGCATGTATCCTCATTTAGTGCACGTGGACAGAGAGAATGTAGTATTGACAGGGCCAAAGGAGAAAAAAGTACGCTTTCATCCCACATCGGTTCTCAGTCAGCCTCAATATAAAAAGGTAAAACATTTTTGATGCTCTTAGGCCCTGAATTAAACTAATCCATTCTAGATAGTTGAAGATCTGTCTTCAAATACCTGCCTCCTTTAAAAATTTGTGTGTATATGTATAAAATTAAATAGTGGAACACATTTTTATTGAATATTAGTTGGAAGAGCTAATATGTTAAACAATGTGAACTTTCCTACATATTGTATGAACAATGACTTGCCTTAATTTTTGCAAAGGTGCTAATAAACATCATCTGTTTTATCAAAGAACTTTTGATATTTTAAAAATGTTTTAAATAATGTATCTGATAGATAAAATCAAATTCACAGCTATCAAGTTGATTCCAACCAGAAATTTTTAGCTGATAGTTAAGGTTAACAGTTAACTCATTTTTTCCCTAACAGATTCCTCCAGCAAATGGTCAAGCTGCAGCAATTCAGGCACTGCCCACAGATTGGCTTATTTATGATGAAATGACCAGAGCCCATAGGATAGCTAATATTAGATGTTGCTCGGCAGTGACACCTGTCACTGTGTTGGTATTCTGTGGACCAGCTAGGTTGCCAAGCAATGCTCTTCAGGAGCCCTCTTCCTTTAGAGGTAAGTGTATTGTGTATTGCTTATTGTATGTTTTAAAAGAATAAACTATTTGGAACCAATTATTTTTCTACTAAACCAAGCAAATTGTGAAATTTAAAAATTTTATGTAGTAGCAGACTCCTTTTATATTAAAACTTTAAGAAATAGGAAGTTATACAGTTATTCTTGAGATTTCTAAGATAATTTTAACACTTATTTGTGCATTTTATATTAATCTAACTGATGGGAAGAAGTTTGCTCTTTCTCTTCCACTTGTATTTACATAATTGTTTAAAGGAAGTAGTCATTTGCATGAAGAGCTCTCTAAAGATACAGGTGCTATAGCAAAGTGTGGTGAAGAAAGCAGATGGTGCCCAGTTGTCAGAAAGAATAGTATCTGGGATCTCAAAGGCTTCTTTTTAAAACAAGCAGCCATCTAAGTGAGGTGATAGCTAAGCCTACACTGAAGAAGCACACCAGACTGTGTGATAAAAAGATTAGCAATAATACAACCCAAGACCCCAGATGGGAAATGATATTAGAGCTTAAATTCTGAGCACTTGGTTTATAGAAGGCTGTAGATCAGTGGTTCTCAACTTTCCTAATGCCGCTCAACCCTTTAATACAGTTCCCCATATTCTGGTGACCCCCCCCAACCATAAAATTATTTTCCTTGCTACTTCATAAATGTAATTTTGTTACTGTTATGAATTGGGCAACCCCTGTGAGAGGGGCATTCGAGCCCCAAAGGGGTTGCGACCCACAAGTTGAGAACTGCTGGGGTAGAGGTACCTCTGTGCATTTCCAATACTGTAATGCCATATGGAAGTAAAGAGCCCATCTTTCTTCTATGAAGCAGCTAGTGGTTGCAAACTGCTAACCCTCCAGTTCGCAGCCCAACTCCTAACCACAGCTCCACCTGGGCTCCTGAACATAGCCATACTGTCTGTCATCTAGCTTCTTTGATTGGTTGTTTTTAAAGTATTATAGTGAAGGGGTAATCTTTGTCACTTATCTGCTGAACTTGTTTAATAGAAAATTATTATGGAGATAAATATCTCTTATTTACCATGTTCCATAACTAAGATTCTTTTTTTAAAAAATCATTTTATTACGGGCTCATACAACTCTTATCACAATCCATAATACATCAATTGTGTAAAGC